GGAGCCGCAGCTTGGCTGGGGGCAGAAGGGATGGTCACAAGTGGTGACAGAGAGAAGGCTGAGCTGCTTTTGCCTCTGTTTTCTCTGCCAAGGACAATGACCTTGGCCTTGGAAATGGCAGGACAAAACTGGGTGATGAGGAGTTGCTACCCAAGATAAGTAGGGAGATAGGAAAAACATACTAATGACCTGTGGTAGGTTTAGGTCCCCTCCTCCAAATGAACCATGTCCTCCCATAGAGAGCAGTCTGGTCACTCGTAGAGGTTGGGGTCCAAAGTCATGGCCAGGGCTCAAACTCAGGTCCCCTGACCCCAAATCTGATGCTTTCTCTTCCTCATGTTGCCTCACCACAAAGGTTAAGAGAAATCTAATATTATCCATTTAATGAATCACACAAGTCTATGTGTTGTTGTTTGTCCTTCATTCTCGAGAAGGACCAGTGACATCAGGGGGGTGATGACTTGCAAGTGAATTGGATTTAAGTGAGGCAGAGCTGTGCAAAGTCACCAGCCTCACTCTCTCTCCAGAGTCATCAGAGTCTAGTGGCAAGAAATAGGCCAAGATAACTGGCAGTGGCCCCAAGTGCAGTGGGAGACCTTGGCCTTCTTCGTGTGTGCTGTATTTAAAAAGACAACCATACAAATGTCATTGCTTAAAGCTTCAGGTGCCTCAGTGACACTAGATAACTGAAATTCTTCCTTTATACCTGGATGCTCTTTTTGTTCCTTCAGACTAGACTTCTTGAGCCTGTGAATCTTGGGAAGTGGTATGGCGGCTCTACTCTTCATTGAAAGCGTCTTTTAGGAATGGGTTTCAGAGAGGTACATTGAGGGACCCAGTGGCTCGCTTGTAAACGCTGAGGCCATCGACCCTGAGTGGTTTGCCACGTTGGAGCCAGACCTGTAGCAGCCCTCCCCATGATCATGGCCCCAGGAAACATTTTCTTAGTAGCAAAGCTCTAGGGAATAAGTATTAGTCCCACCTTTGCTGTCCCTTTTTCTGTATGAGGATTTTTCATTCTTTAAGGTTTATTTTATTGCTCTAGCCACTAAGACCCATGTTTTTTTAAAAGGCTCGTGGTTTACTTTTCTCTTTAATGTGTCCTTGTAAGTGAATATTAATTCCAATGAATGAAAAAAGCCATGCACCCGTTTTTGTCCAGCTGCCTTAGAAGAGGCTTGTTGTGTTCTCCCTTTGGCGTGAATTGAATAAAAAGCTTTGTGCTGACTTCGCGTAAATTATTCATGAAGAGCATCTTAAGATTTTTGCAGAGGATGAATGCCCTGTGTTGAAGAGAAGTAAAATAGTTTCCTTGTCTGAACGATGGCAGTTTCCCCTGAATACTAAAAATCTACTGTGTAATGATTTTTAAAAATTAGACTCAGCAAACATTTATTGTATACCTGATATGTATAAGGAAGGCATTATGCTAGACACTGGGAGACAAAAATAAGACATTATTCCCCACTACGTACCCTTTCTCTAATCAGTTTAGGCTCTGTATTCCCCCTACCAAAACCATACTTATTTCCTGCCTCCGTGTGTTTTGTCCATGTCAGTCTCCTCACTGGAACTTTGTTCTCCCCTTTCCTTTTAATTAGGCTCTGATTGCCTACAAAGTGCAGTCCAATAGAAATTCCTTAGCCTGCTATTCAAGAGCTCTACACACACACAGTGTATTCAATCAAAGCTCCTGTCGCCCCTCAGTGTAGCATCTTAGAGCTGAAAGGAACTTCCCAGGTCTTGAATCTTCTTGTGGACACCCCACAACATCCTTTGAAGTGCTCATCTAGCTTCCATCTCCCCAGAGCTAGAGACCACACTTGCTGTGTTCTGACCAAGGCCAAGCAGGGCAGGATCATTCCCTCCCTCACCCTGGGCCCTCCTAAGGTGACATGACTGCTTTTAGCTGCTGTATCCCTGCTGACTCACTGAAGCTGAGGGGTTTTTAACATGAGCTACTTTCTAGCCATATCATCTATATTCTGTACTTGTATAGTTGATCTTTTTTGACTCACCTGCAGGACTTGACAAATATTACTATTCAATTTTATCTTGTTCGTGTTGGCCCATTGTTCTGGCCTGTTAGAGTCTTTTGGGATCCCCGTTCTGTCATCTAATAAATTCGTTATCCCTCCCAACTCTATGTAATCTGGAAATACAATAAGCCAGCCATCTCTGAGGGCATCTGTTTATCTAGCACCGTAAGCTCTGAAGGTATTTATGAGCTATGTCATCGATAGAAATGCTGAACAGAATGAGATCAAGTACAGGCCTCACCCTGCCCACTAGGAACTGCCATCCAGGTTGCCATTATTCTGTTAATTACAAGTCTTTGAATTAGGCCAGTTAGTTTAATTCACTATTTGCCAATCACCTCTGTTCAAGGTACTACACTAGGTACTGGCAGCTGAGATATGTGAAGTCACAACTCCCTGCCCATAAGAGCTTAAGCTCTACTAGAGGGTACTTTTGCATAAGTGAAGTACAGGGTAGTTTCTGGTGGGGCAGAGGAGAACTACAGAATGTTCTGGGGATATTTACGGAGTAAGAGAGGAGAGCAGAGGAAGCTTCCTGGCACTTGAGCTAAGCCTGGAAGAAAGAGAAGAGTCCCAGTAGGTAGACCTGGAGAAGGGGCTAATTTCTAAAATAAGAGGCAGTCTCTGCAGCTATTCACTGAAGGAGATAGCCCGTAAGACACGCGGTCCAACATGTGCTGGAGCAACGCGTGTGACTGTTTGGAACAGTAGAGAAAGGGGAAGGCAAGTAAATTGGCACCACATTATTGAGGGCCTCAAAGCCCGAGAGGTTCTCTAGGCTAGATGGGCATCCCTGCAAGTTCGGTTTGTTGAGGGTAGGTCTTCTTGTCTCCAGACTGGAAGGGCAGGGGCTGCTCACCGGCCCAGTCCCCCTCACATTGGCCTGGGAGCTTTGACTTGTTCCATTTTTGCCACGGACTGGTTTGCCCCTCTTTAGGCAACCTGGTGGTCTCCTCCTCCCAGGGACTCATCATACCTCAGAACTCCTGAGCTCTAGAGATCTACAAGCCTCAGCCTCCCCAGAAGCAGGGACTATAGTCATGAACCACCGTGCCCATCCACTGTAAGGTTTTAAGCAAAAGAATGACATGTCTGACCTGTATGTGAGGAAGGCCACATTGCTCCCTTGCTTAAAATTTTGGGATTTTGATCCTGGCCCTGTGACTGTAAGGCTCATACTCTTTGCACATCAAGGATGTCCCTTAATGAGGCATTAGGAAATATTTGTTTACTTAATAAAAACAGTCATTTGATACTCGTTTAACAAAAACAATTGTCAAATGAAATAAAAGTAAAAGCATATTGACAGTGTTATTTTTTAAATGCTGTGTCCAGGTGGCAAGCTCAGTCATCCAGGCAGCAGACATTTATTTATTAAGTACCTCCGGTGTCCCAGGCATTGTGCTAAGCTGTGGGGATACAAAAATAGAACAAAGACAGCCCCTGCCCTCAGGGAGGGCAGTCTAATGGGAGAGACAACATACAAACGGTAAGACATATGCAGAATAAATTGGAGATATAATCAACAAAGGGAAGGCACTAACATTAAGGGAGATTGGGAAAGGCTTCTTGTGGAAGGTAGGATTGTAGCTAAGAGCCAGCAAATGAGATGAGGAGGGAGAGAATTCCAGGCACGAGGGGCAGCTAGTAGAATGTCAGGGGTCTGGAGATGGGGTATCTTGTGCAGGGAGCAGCAGGGAGAGCAGTGTCACTGCATCACAGAGTGTGTGGGAGTCACCAAGGTGTAAGAAGACTGGAGAGATGGGAGGGGCCAGGTGAAGAGGTTACAAGAGCTTTGAATGCCAAACAGATGGCTTTGTGTTTGATCCTGGAGGTGATGGGGAACCACTGGGGTTATTAAATGTGTGGGGCAGGGAGGAAGGGCATAGCGTGAAGGATGACATGGTTAGACTTGTGCTTTGGGGGTTATGTTTGACAGCTGAGTTGAGAATTGGATCAGGGAGAGACCAGGTAAGGAGGCAATGGCATCGATCCACACTTGAGGTGATAAGAGCCTACGCAGAGGTGGTGCTGTGTTGGAGCAGAGAAGGGGGCATAGAGAGACATCATGAAGGCACAAGGGCCAGGATTTGGCAACAGATTGGCTATGGTGGGGTGAGAGTGAGGAGCCCAGGATGACACGTAGGTGGTACCTTGGGTAGTAATAGGAGACATAGGAAGAGATGGGGGTTCTGGAGGAAAGATAGATAATGAATTCAGTTCTGGACATGTTGAATTTAAGATCTATATGAGACATTTGGTTTGATCTGATCTAATTGATTGGTTTGATTTGATCAATTGATCTGATCTTTCTAATAGACAGTTGGAGATGTGTGTCTGGAGGTTAGGAAAGATCTTAGGGCTTGACAAGTAGACCTGAGAATCATCAGTATAGGGAAGATCATTGAATCTATGGGAGCTAATGAGATCACAGCGTGAAATAGTCTAGTGGGAGAAGAGAAGAAGGTTCAGGACAGGGCCCTGGGGAGCGAGGGGGGGGTCACAGAAACGGTTTTGTCATAATTAACAACCTTGTCAACCAGTTGGGTCTGATGAGGAAGGCCTTCAGTGTAATCTAACCAAGGAGAGCCCCAAGAGGCTTTCTTCAATCCCTTGTCTCAGTGCATATGTGGTTTCATTTATATTTTTATTAGGGTGATTTGGACTGTATCTAGAAATATTCTTAAATGTTTCCCTTTCTTGAGGTTAACAAATATATTTTTTAAAATCTAGTTCCTGAAATTGGTTTGTTTCATGTATGGTAGCTCAAGATAGCTTTCTCACTCCTTATTGTTTTAGTAAATGGTTAAGTCCTTGGGAAAATTACTTATGACATCACTGAAGAATGCTACAGAAATAGCTTCTCCCTGAAGTTCCCATCGTCAGAGCTAACCCGCAGGAGGTGGCTCCGATAGAGTGGCCGCCATGATGACTGGTGTTTTCCTTTCTCTTTCAATGCAGGCCCTCTGGTCTCGGAAGCAGGACCATGTGGTCGACTCTTGGCAGTCAGCAGCTTGTGGAGCTTTTGCAGGTGCAAGGGATTACATTGTACTGGGAAGGGCTGAGGAGGGGGAGAAAAATGTGAATTCATAAGATTAACTGTGCAGAAACATTCTTTAGAATTGCCATTCTGTTTAGAAGAAGGCCATTCCAGTGGTTTTTTGAGAGGAGAAATTTCCTGAGGAGAGGGGGGGAGACTGTGGGAAAGGTGTCTGCCTGAAAGACAGCCAATTTGCTTTTGACAGATTTCTGTGGGCTTTTTGGTTTTGGTTTGTGTATATAAGTGTGTAGATTTTTTACCAAATTGGGGGTTGGAAGAGGAAAGGTCTGTCGCTCAGTTATCTAAGAAAATAACTTGTTGAGTCTTTGGTGAGGGCAGACTTCCAGTGAGCACAGAACGGTGCAGCGGTCGGCCTACCTGCCCCAAGCTGTCCTTCAGTGGGTTTAGCAATGTCTGCAATGCAGCAGGCCATGATTCACAGTTCAGGTGACAGCTTGACAGTCATACAGATTAACTGGTATCAGGAGAGCACAGGATCGATCTCTACCGGAAGGCAAAAACCCTTCTCCAGAGGAGAAATGAGCAGCCAGACATCTGGGCCCTGTCTAGGCCTTTGTACCCACACTGAAGAGACAGCAAGGAATCTGTCCTGTGACACTTGCTACTCACTACATCAGGGCACAGAGTCGGAGGGCCGATGGGGTGTGGTTTTAATGAGAATGCAGGTGCTTAAAAGATACAGTATTGTAGTGGGAATTTATTAAGTGATAGATTTGGCCCTAAGTTTTAAATTATGCCATAGAAAGTCAAATTAGAATCAAAGTAGAAATTAAACTGGACTGAAATTTACCACTGTCTCCCTGCAGGGGGAAAAAAAATTATAAACTGCCAGTGAGGTTAGAAAAACCAGTGATCTGTTATGCATGCAGACTTAGCCTGTCCACCTTATTTGTTCTGATGTGTCTGTTGGGATGTTGTTTGGGGAGAGAATCACTTGTATTTGTCTCATGGAATTGATAACTAAGGTACCCGAAGGCTTTTTTTGCCTCAAGGTTAGAATCCAGTCTAGCTTGGTTCTAAGGGATAATTGTTTCCACATGACACATAGTTGCTGTGCTAGATGAGTTGGTGGTCTTGGTTCAGTTCCCAAGGATCAGGCATCTCTGTCCTCCAAACCACTAACAGAATTCCAGTCTTTGTTGGCAGCCTCCTCATAAGCTCCAGGGACAAAGTTGAAACTCAAGCATCTTTATCCTTTAGGTTCCTCCTGAGAACCAGAGCTCCACTGAGAAGCATCCACCTGTGGGTGGGAGGCTTAAACAGGAAGGTCTCTGCAATCTCCTTGGAAGTTAAAGGCAATCAGTATCTACCCTGAACAAAACCTGCATTTAAAAAAGTACCTTTTATGGCTATTGCAGTATGATTGTTATGACAAAGGAATAATTAACCATTGAGGTCTAGACACATTTTCTACATATATTTCATGTCATTACATTGCCTTAAAAACAGAATAATTTTGTACATTAGAGTCCATGTGGTGGAGTGAATAGAGCCCTGGCTTAAAGTTTGGAAGACCTGGGCTCAAGGTCTGCCTCTGACAGATCCTGGCAGTATGACCCTGGGCAAGTCACTCATCCTTTCAGTGTCCTCAGGAAACCATCTTAACACTCTCAGTTGAAGAGAAGATTTTGACCTGTATTTGTGGTAGGGGTTTCCTTGCCCAGAGTTGCCTGAACCAATGATACCACAGGTTCGCATATTAACTATTTTCCCTTACATTTGTTGGCCTATATGTGGATTTTAACAAATCTCCAAATAATATTTTTCTGTTTCACAGCTGAAGAGAACTAACTTTATGACCTTAGAGAAGTCATTCTCTCTGAGTTTCCACTTCCTCATCAATAAAAGGAAAGTAGATTTAGAAGGTCTTCTCTGGCTTGTGAGCCTTTGGGCCTGTGACCAGCTGGATCATTGGCTCAGGGCCCTGCAGATTCCTTAAACTCTATGTAGATGTTAGATACCAAAGAAGAAATAACATGAAATGAGTGCCCTTCTTGGCCAGCCCATCTGTTGGGGTAAAAGTCAAACAGTACAATTTGGAGAGAAGTCTTGCTCTAGTGAGATACAGAATGATCTTCTGGCACCAGGTTATCATTTTGAAGCTCACTTTAATCTGAAAATGTTCCATATTATGAACAACAGTTGCTATTCTAGAAAGGTTTGTCATAGCACTGTGTGAATTACTAAGGCTAGAGAAGTGAACAATGAGTCGCCATCTTTGGAGAGCCCCTTTTAGGTCTGACATGTTTATACACTCTGCCCTCAGCCACTACCCATAAATGGTCATAAAGACAGTGGTGAAACCTGCCTTTGGATCAGAATTCAGACTTTTCCTGTCTATGTGTGTGCGTCCAAATTTAAATTGGCTTAAATCATTGCAGATGAACTGTTCTCTCCACTGCTCAATACACCCTTTCTTCCCCATGCTTACGATATGAGATGCTTGACCCACAGATCTAAAAGTGTCTTTTGACATTTAGAGCCATTGAAGGTAGAGTATTATCCTCTGAGACTGACCCACAAAACAAATAAGATATAACAGGCCTCTTCGTTTATGGCTTTGCTACTGGGGTGAGGAACCTGGGGCTTTAAGGCCACATTTCCCCACTCTTGTGCTGAACTTTTGCCCTTCTCAAGTTTTTGCCCTAACCCGCTATGGATAATACCAGCTTAGAACAGAGGAGTGAGCCCTAAGGCTTTGGACTTTGAAATTCTAGAAGCAGGTGGAATAGCCAACTTGCTGGAATAAACAAACAACAATTTAAATAGAAAATACTTCAGGCCCGAACACCTGTTAAATGTCTGTGCAAAGAAAATGAATGAAGATGCCGTTCATTCTTTCATTATTTATTTGTTTGTTTGTTTTTAATGTTCTTTTCTTTTTAAATTTTGAGTTCCAAATTCTCTCTTTGTTCTTTAAAACTGGTAACAAGTGGAGAGAGCTGAAAGCAAGGGCCCTACTTAAGAAAAAAATGGAAACAAATCTCTCTAGGGTTGGGATTTCTCCACTGCTTTAAAAAATTGTTATATGGACAGGAAATCCCAAGTTTGGGAGAGGAGGGAGGCATGCTGCTTTCTGTAGGGCAGTACTTCTCAAACTTTTTGATCTAAGGACCACTTTACACACTTAAAGATTATTAAGGACTCCAGAAAGCTTTCGTTTATGTGAGTTATATCTATTAGTATTTACCATGTTCAAAATTAAAATATCTTAGTCTTATTATGAAAAACGTTTTAACCTTGCAGACTCTCTGAAAGGGTCAGAGGAACCCCCTTGCTCCCCATCCTGGGCTGCTCAGGACACATGTAGACACTTGTTGGTGTGTGGAGCAATAAAGTGTCTGTGCTTGTGTGACAACTAAGAGAATGAATGGGGGACAAAGTTGTATGTTAACATCTCACTTCTCCAAACTTAGCCTTTTTAAGTAACTTTCTTAACGTTAAATTTGGCTGTAGTAAGAGAATGTAGAAAACATGTTTTCTGTATGATTTGAAAATTCTAGTGAGATTTATAATTTCTATACCAAGTCATTAAGAATTCCTTGTTTAAAATGGTAACCAAAATGTTAACATGTAGCCTTTCCTTTTGATATAGTGAATTTAATTAATAGATTGTAGATGGTTATAACTAATACTTAACCTACAAAACTGTTGAGGTTTAGGGGTGCTGGGACCCCAAAATCACATGGTCCTGCCCCAAAGAATTCGACCCAAGCCTTCTTTCAGCCAAAGACAAGGTTTATTAGAACATTTGTCATATTGGGCAGACTCTTAAGGAGTCTGCACATTAGTGAGTTATTGGCTAGATTGTAAGAATCTGAGCAGTGGCTAAGATTAGAAGAATCTGAGCATTTTAATGGAGACAAGACGTATCTCATTTACAGAAAGACTATAGGAGGGATCTAAGAGTGGCCAAGTAGTCTATGAGGAGATAGGAGTCCAGGGGACCTGGACCCTGTGGCCAAGGGAGAATAGATCCTAGATAGGATTAAGGGTGGGAAATGGCCTGGGGCCATAGGGAGGATAGGACAGCCGAAGGCTAGGCTAGGTTATGGGTAACAGAGAATTGAGAGATTGCCTGTAGCCACAATGAAGGAGATAGCCTCAGAGATCTGGCCTTGGGAGAAAGTTGAGGGTTTTTCCTTTCTGGGGTCCAGACCCCAGCCCCATCAGAACTTCTGCAAAAATCCTATGTAGAAGCTTCATCAGGGTTTGGATGTATTCCTTGAGTTCTCAGAGGGTAGTGACTTCACCAAGCTAGAAGGACATCAGGTGGGAGCCCAGCGGTGGTGTCATCCAGGCAAGCATTTGTTGTTCAGTCATTTTTTCAGTTGTGTCTGATTCTTTATGACCTTTATGACCTACGTCTGATTCTTTTCTTGCCAAAAAAATTGGAGAGGTTTGCCATTTCCTTCTCCAGCGCATTTTACAGGTGAGGAAACTGAGGCAAACAGGGTGTAGTAACTTGCCCAGAGTCACACAACTGGTGAGTGTCTGAGGTCAGATTTAAACTCAAGAAGATGAGTCTTCCTGACTTTAGCCATTGCACCACCTAGCTGCCCTTCCAGTCAAGCATATTGAAAGCTAATCACCATAAGAAGTTGAGATTATTTTGTCTTTAATGATGGGAGGAGAGAGACAGGCAGAGATTGATTATGAATACACACACACACACACACACACACACACACACACACACACGTTGCCTTGCATGCCTGTGTGGGCCCCTGCTGCTGCCACTCTGGTGTAATGGAGGAGTGGACATCAGAAGATGATACAAATTATGCAGTGTTTCTACCATGTAAAGCCCTTCACATGAAGTCTTTGGTTACAACAGATGCCACACACCATTGTAGGAAATGAAGAACATCTGAATTGACCATTCTTTCTCTAAATGAAACCAGGAGACTTAAGATGGTGCAGCTAAAGGAGAGGATGGCACTCATTCCTGAAATGGTGACTAGTGAATTTATCAGATGCCCCAAGGTAGTGAGAAACCTCCTTTCACAAGATGCCTGGTTGTCTTGCCTCACAGAGAGAACATGAATATAATCATAGCTCATGTACCACCATGTGTTGTAGAAGAGGAGAAAAATGACAATTCATCAAAGAACTTCCCAGCATAACAGGATCGTAGAGATTTAGTTCTGGAAGGGCCTTTAGAGGCCATCTGAGTCCAGTCCTCTCATTTTAATAGCGAGGAAAACTAAGGTCATAAGGTAACATGCCAGACCCTTGGACTTCAGGAGCGGTGCTCTTTCCTCTGGACTACGTGCCTCAGCATCAGATCTTCCAAAGGATATCAGTGCATAGCACAGTACTTGGCGATTTCTGTGTAAAAGTAGGTACAGAAGATGTCCAAAAGTACACCATAAAATATAGTTGAAGATAAAGAAATGGAAGCCAGAAGTCTCTAGACTACTTAGAAGCATCACACCTAGATGTCATGATGAATTGAAAGGCACAGAATATAGTAACTTCCAAAATAACATCATTAAAAATAAAATTTATAATAGTTTTACTGTTAATAATAGCTGATATTATATTGCATTTTGGTTTGCAAAGTACTTTACAGGTCTTATCTCATTCAATCCTCAAAAACCCTCTAAGCTAGGCACTTAATTTAGCACCAATTTACAGATGAGGAAAGTGAGGCTCACGGAGGGTGCTTTGCCTAGTGTTCCATAGCTAGCTAGGAAATAAATGTCTGAGATGAAATTCAAGCCCATGTTGACAAATAAGAAATTGCTATTTCCAGAAAGCCGTCCTAACACATCCATATGGTATCTTATAGTTTTTCAGATACTTCCTTACACATTACTTTGGAGCCCCACAATAGCCTAGTAAGCAGCCCAAGTATCCTCATCTTACGGAAGAGAAAACTGGGGCCAGAGAGGCCCTGGTTTGCCCAAGTCACCTGGTGGAGTCTTGGAAATGGACTGCCGAAACCCATCTTCTAACTTTGGTCCATTTCTCTGTCCAGTACTCTGTCACTGTTTACGTATAATCAAGATCCCTGACAGGAGCCTAGATAATCCAATTATTTTGGCTGGAAAAAAAAGAAAAATTTAAAAAATGAAAAAATATGTATTTTGGATGAGTTGGGGGATAGAGGAGGGGATTGTAATCAGTAAACCGTATGTCCCTTTCAGGTGGATTTGCAGCAGTAGTCACCACACCTCTGGACGTGGCCAAGACAAGAATTATGTTGGCAAAGGTAAGAAGAATGTAATTTTGAAATGATACCTGCACAGACTTTTAGTGTGAGAACTTTTATGATGACAGTATTAATGATAATGAACAAGATAAACCTGCTATAATAGTGATTATCAATGACTAATTCTGGCTGGAAGCAGGAGGCAGGGCATTGGAGTACTGATATAAAAGCTAGACAAACTGTCCTTCCTCTAGTCTTCGCATGCAGCACCCCACCCCTGGCTTCTCAGCTTAGAAACCCTTACCTCCTACAAGAGACAATTCAAGTACACCTTTTTTTTTTTTAATAATTTCATCTGTCCCTCTCCTTACCTATCACCCCCAAGAAAGAACACCCCTCCATTATCCAGCAAAACAGATTCCCACATTGTAAATCCCAGAATGTATTTCTCTTTCCACATGAAGGTTCATCAGCTCTGTTAGGAGGTAATGTGTTTCATCATGGTTTATCATGATGTTGATAAAGAGTTCTAAAGTCTTTCAGAGCTGTTTTTCTATAATGATATTTTCATTATTCTGTTTCTGCTTACTTCTCCCACGGAAGTTTATAACAGTCTTCCCATTTTCCTCTGCAACTGTCCTTTTCATCATTTCTTGTGGCAGAAATCCATCACATTCATATACCATAATTTATTTAGCTATTCCCCGAGAGAACACCCTCTTAAGTTTCTGATTTTTGACTCCCAGAAAAAGAGCTGCCATAGACATTTTTATACAAAGAGGTATTTTTCCTATTTCTTTGGTTTTTGGGGGGCAGGCCTAGTAATGATCTGGCTAGGTCAAAGGGCATGCGCAGTTCAGTAACTTCTGGGGCATAGTTCCCAATGGCTTTCCAGAATGGCTACACCAATCCACAGCTCCACCAGAGCATGCCTCTTGGCACGTCCTCTCCATGGACGTTTGACCTGGTCCTTGTCCTCCTTTGTCATCTTGTCAGTCTGATAGGTCTGAGGTAGAACTCCACAGTTCCTTTCATTTGCATCTCTCTGACGATTAATGATTTAGAGCATTTCTTCATACGCTGTTCGATAACTTGGATTTCTTCTTTGGAAAACTTCCTGTTCATATCCTTTGATCTCTTAGAGAATGGTGCTTAGTCTTATAAATTTGAATCTGTTCCTTACACATCTTGGATAGGAAACATTTATTAGAGAAACTTGCTGCTAAAATTTTTTCCCAGTTATCCATTTCCCTTCTAATTTTTACTACATTCGATTTGTTTGCACAAATTTTCTTCATTTTTAGGTAATCTACCATTTTATCCTGTGTGATTCTGTCTCATTAGTTTTGTCACGAGCTCTTTCCCTATCCATAGATCCAAAAGGCAATGTTTTCTGGGCTCCTCTCTCTGTTTACGATGTGACCTTTTCTATCTAGATCCTTTGTGCATTAGAACCAAGCACCGCTAGCAGGAGCCATGTGCCGCCCTTCCCGATCCTCCCGCCTGCCTGCTGCCTGCCTGCCTCACTTGATCGCCTCGTACCTGTGTTTATTCCACGAGTACTTATTATTCGTGTATGTGTCGTCTTCCCCTCTAGCCTGCGAGCTCCTTCAGAGGGAGGAATGTTTCTTTTCATGTGCATCTTTGTGTCTTTAGTGCCCGGCACAATGTTTGGCCCAGAGTAGACATTCATTAAGTGCTTATTGATTGACTAGCTGGACCCTCACCATTGTCTCTTTAGCCTATTGAAAGAGAAATGCAGACCAGTGTGTCTTTTTAACCAGTGAAGCCCCCTACCTGGGAGGTGATGTGGTCTGCTGTGTGACCTGGGGAAAATCGTTTAAGCCCTCTCACCTCACTTACCTCATCTGTAAAATAAGGAAGCTTTGATCTTATGGCTAGAACGTGTAAGAACCCTTTGAACCCTTTATTCTAATTAAAAATTCCTTTGAAAGTTTTTTTTCCATTTAAGTTATTCATTATAAATGAATATATTCTTCTTCTGGGCCATTCCTCTTAATTATGGTAGTTTGAAATTCTTAAATAAAAGTGAGTGTTTAAAGTCAGCAAGTTATTTTTTATGAGCTGAGTATGTCGCGTTTGTCAGTGAAATTTATTTCAACCTCTTTAATACAATGTTTCTTCCTTTCTGAAAAATTTCCTTGCTCTAGACATCCTGAGATTTCCTTAAGATGTTTACTTACCTATTTAATATTTCCCTGTGAAGTATTTTCCAACTGGTAGGGTCATTTTGGTTACTTTCTGTGTTGGAGGAGTTAAACACAGGCTCTCTCTCTCTCTCTCTCTCTCTCTCTCTCTCTCTCTCTCTCTCTCTCTCTCTCGTGTGTGTGTGTGTGTGTGTGTGTGTGTAGCGTACACACACACGGTTGCCTGCCTAGTATGGTGGCTTCTTGGACCACCAAGCTATTAGAGGAAGCCCTCTCCTTAATCACATGTTTGACTTCATTGGTGTGAGCTCTGTAGTGAAGATTTCTAAAGCATTGAGCTTAGGTGTTTTTCTGTTTTTTGAAATACAGGCGGGTTCTAACACTGCCAGTGGAAATGTTCTGCCTGCTCTGCTTGAGGTCTGGAAGACACAAGGGATCTCTGGGTAAGGATGCCTGCTGGGAGTGTGGCTGTTGTAAACATTGAACTTACATTCTTTCCTCCTACCTGCTGTAATTTCCCGTCTCTCCCTTGACAACATTCTCCTCCTTTCCCACGTTTAGATTATGTTTACTTGGCAAAGTTGAAATTGATATTGGCCTTACCTGGATTATAGTCTGTGATGTGTGTAATACTTAGGGCTAGTTCATTCTCTTTTTTTCCCTCTCCCTGTACCTTCCTTTCTCCTTTCCATTCCCTTCTTCTTTCCTCTCTCTGGAGAGCACAATCATCCTTCTAGGCATCCTGCTTCTCAACTTTAGAATGATCCTCAACACTCCCTCTCTTCCTCAGCCACAAGATCCAGCCACTTGCCTCATAATATCTCTTTCATCTGTCAGTCTTTTCTTCTTTACTCACATGACTGTCACTCATCACCTCTTACCTAGACTGTCATGTAATCGCCTCTTTTTCCAGTCTCTTCTCTCTTCACCTATCTGCCTGTGGCACACCCCTAATCGTGTCACTTCCCTGGTCAGAAACACTCTTTGGCCTGATGTTGAAGGCTCTTCACAGTCTAGCTCCAGCCTTTCTCACTTTATTGTGTATAACTTTCTTTCACCCAGTCTGCATTATGGCCCAGTTGCGCTATGAATGGTTCCCTGAGCACAAGAACTAACCTTGGTGTTCCTCTCCTGCTTCTCTGGATTCTCACTCACTAACGCCTCTTTGGATCCACTTTTAATGATCTTTACCTTACTTCAAGGCTTAGTTCAGGTGCCCCTTTCTCTGAAAAAGCTTCCCTGGTCCCTTCATTGCCTGTGGTTCTTCTTTTTCTAATTACTTGGAATTTGACTCCGTGCACCTCTTATTCCTACAGTGGGAAATGGGCTAAGAGTTTCCCTTTCACCTAAGAGTAGGGACTGTGTTGTTTTTGTCTTTGTACCCCCAGCATATTATCTTATAAATTATAGGGGCTCAGTCACTTTGTACTGAAGTGAAATGAAGGGACTTCTAAATCTCTATTTTCAGTGTCGACTTTAGATGCCAAAACATCTGCTCCTTCTTATGACGTCTCCATTCCCCCATTCTGAAAACTGGAGCATTCCCTTTGGCCATTCTTCCTCTTCCCTAACCTCTCATATCCAAGTATTTACCATGTTTTGTTGACTCCATCTCTGTGACATGTCACAAATCCTTAGCTTTCTCTCAATTCCCGTTTCATTTTCCTACCACCTGCCTTCATTTTCGCCAGTTTAGCCTGTTAGAACAGACCCCTAGCAGATTTTTCTACTTATGGTCTCTTGACCAGCATAATCTGCAGTGTGGGTAGAGCTGATTGTTCCACAGCTTGGTCTAAAAATCCTCAGTAGCTTTGGTAAGAGATCCAACTCTTGTACATGTATTAAGCACTACAGTGTGCCAGGCACTGTGCTAAAGGCTAGGAATATACAAAGAGGCAGAAGACAGGGCCTGCCCTCTAATGGAGGAGACAGCAAGCAAACAAACATGCATAGCCCTAGACCTATGGAGGATAAATGGGAGGTAATTAAAAAGGAAAGGCCCTGGAGGTAGGAGGGGCTGAGAAGTGCTTCCTGTAGCACATGGGCTTTTAGTTAGGCTGTTTAAGGCCCTCGGAACACCTTCCTTTCCAGTCCTATTTCTTCTGCTCCCTGCCTGGTACTCTTTGCTTTAGCACGTTGAGGTACTCACTTCCTTTTAGGTATGTCCCTCCTCTCCCACCTGTATGCAGCTGTTCACATACAAGCCGAGACCTGAAATGCCTTCCTCCCTTCTTCCTCTTTTTGGCCCAACTCTAGTGCTGCTTCTTCCTTGGAGCCTTTCCAGATGTGTCTCATCAGTAATTGTCCTTCCTCTTTGGACCTTGCAGAGCCTCATGATTTCACCTTTATAATGGATTTTTCCTCCTTTATTTTATATTATAGTGATTTGTCTGTCTGTCATAACTGCTTACTAGACTGGACTTTGATCCCGTGACTCTGGCCCCCTTGCCCTTCCCCCCATCTCTTGGCTCCAGACGTTCTCTCTGGCTGTCTATCTCTCATGCCTGGAATGCTCTCCCTCCTCTGCTCAGGCTGCTGACCTCCCTGGCTCCCTTTAAGTCCTAGCTAAAGTCCTGCCTTCCAAGGGAGGCTTTCCCAATCTTTCTTAATTCTGTGTTTCCTATTTATAGCTTGTTTGTACATGTTTGGTTCGCTGGGGTTTTTTGTGATTGTATGCTCCTCAAGGGCAGGGACTAGCTTTGCCTTTCTTCGTATTCCCAAGGCTTAGCATGGTACCTGTCACATAGAAGTGTTTAATAAACACTTATCGGACTGAATCATAAACTTCTTAAGGGCTAGGACTTTGTCTGAAATGAACTTTGAGTCTTCCCCCAGACCTTAAGTCACCGCTCTGCATATAGAACATGCTTAATGAATGTTTGCTGAATTAAATTGGACTGTGGAGCACATTATCTGAATACACATGTAGGTCCGTGTCTCTGTAGGTCTTTGGATTACAACCAATCATAAACAGATGAATTTTATTGCCCCCTTTGTTTGTGTGATAAAACTGTGCATGTCGATAGTCAAATTCTAACTCTCCAAGCAGTCTTCCTGCTTATTGAATCAGTGTTTTCTGAGAAAACTGAGCTGCCAAGTACTTCATGTCAGCCAAGCCGGTCTGATCTCTGAGCCTTAGAGGAGGGGGTGACACGTGGGGGCGATGTGGTCATCCCAGCCCCAGCGAGGGAGAGGAAGAAGGCCCTCCTCGGTTGGAAGGTGAACTGAAGAGGACTCTTTTCACTCTCCAGTTTACGACCAGAGCTGCTATAAATAGGGACAGCCAGATATGGCAAGTTGAGTATGGAAAGAATAACCCTTTCCAACAGAAAAGCCTCCTAAATGGCTCATTTCCATGTTTGCAGTTTGCATATCAACCTTGCACATCAGCAGGACTGATAGCCAGCACGCTTGTCCTCTCCTGCCAGTCAGTGTGGCCCCCTTCTTGCCAGGCGGCTGCCCTTTGCGTCTGAGTCCGGTCAGCAGGAAGTATTCCTCAAGTCCCGTGTGCAGACTGGCTCACAGTCAGAGCCAAGCAGAGAGGAGTCCTGACAGCAGTGTCCTCCCTTTTTCAGTTTGCTCCCCAATCTTCTCCTAAGCCCAGATCCAGACACGTGACCTCTCGCTCTCTTCCTTACCCACCGGGTAGAAGGAGGACAAATGACTTGGCTAGAATCAGCAGCAGAAAACATACCATGAAAATATCTTGAGACAACAGAATATGAGAATAGTAAAGCTAAACAGATGTTAGGGAAGGAAATCATAGTTGGGAAAAAGTGCCTTGGAGCCTGCCTGCCGTACGGCAGTGGGATTCAGGAGGCCTTCAGCATACAGCTTAGCCTCAAACTGGTAGAACCTTGGGCCTCAGTGTCCTTGTCTGTCAAATTGGGGGGGAGGGTGGCCTGGAGGAGTTCTCAGGTTTTCTGTCTTTGGTGAACCAATTTGCTAAGCTATGTTTCCAATTATAATTCGGTTGATCCAAGCCAGATAATGTTTCAGGCTGCTCTGGGAGAGAGACCTTTGAGATGGCCTCCATGTGAAGTGCTTGGTGACTCCTGTTACCAGTCTTCAGTTTCAGAATGTATTCAAAACGTGCAGTGGCATGATACATCCATCTCCAAAGTGAGCACTCCAGCTGGACAACCATTCCTGCCTGTTCACAGGAGAGGGTAGAGGTTTCCATCCACCTTTCACTGAAAGCCACGGAGGGAAGAAGCGATGCTTGGCACACTCACCTAGAGACTAGTGGAATGAGGGCTGGATCTGGAATCCGAGGGCCTGCAGGAAAACCCCAGGACTGCCCATCGATAGCTCTGTGACCCTGGACACACCAGCTTAGAGCTTAGCCTCTCTGGGCCCTGGCTGCCTCATGTAAAATGAGGGAGTTGGGATAACTGATAGCTACAGGTCCTTCTAGCTTCAGATAGATGATCCAGTATTAAAGTCTGCATAGCATTTTGCAAACCTGAGAGCATTAGGGACAGGGGAGCTGCTCATCTTCATCCTCAGACTTTTTATTTTGTCCTAGAAGCAAGGATTTCATGGTTGCTTTCTTATTGACAGGCAGTGTGGCAAAGCTGATTGGTCAGGGTTCCAGTCTTATTTCTTCCAGTCATGGAACATCTTTGAGATTCGTCTCCATTTCCTCATCTCAAAAGTGGGGATGATAATAATGGTGATTACCTGCCTCACCTGGCTGTGGGAATCAGATGAGATAATGAATTAATTGAAGGGGCTTTGTGGACCTGAAGTGAAAACTTGAAAGGCCACAACCAGGACTGTGAAATCCGCTGGGAGCCATCTCATAAGCTATTACTTAATGCCTTGGAAGGGAAGAGCCTCATCATGGTGCACACATGTGTGAATGCAGGAGCGCAGGCACACGCCAACCGCCCGGAGCAGCTGTATCAGTTATTCACACGTCCGTCAGGTACCTGCTCTGTTAACGCTGGTACTGTGTTTCAGTACCTCTCACATACCTGGCACTGTCCTAGGCACTGTGGACAGCCCCAGGAGACACAGAAGACATGAGTCCTGGCCTGGACCAGCTTGTAACCCGATGGAAAAGTGAAGACTTCAGATCTAGCGCTGGACCAAACAGATTCTGAATATTCAGAAAGAAGGTCTAAGGATTTCCAGACAGGAGGCCCAGCTCCTCATGCTTCTTCCTCCTGTCTCAGTCATGAAGAGATGTTTCAGAGAGGGCCAATAGAGGGAGGAGACAGCATGCAAACACCCATGTCTGTAGGAGATACTGACTGAGGAGGTGGGAGATGGCTCAGAGGGAAGGTCCTAGCAGTGAGAAGTGCCCCTATCCTCCATCCCGGGATGCCACCCTGCAGATGGATGCAGGGGAAGCCACAGGCCTGCCCCTGGCAGTTCCACAGTGCTGTGGCAGCACCACCGTGCCTCCTCTGCAGCAAGTTTTGGCCTCCTTGGAGAGCTGGGTTGGGACATGCCTTGTACAAATTATCCCAGCTTTAAAGCCATAATTATGATAATAGATCCAATTGTCATCTAGTGAAGCCATAAAACGTTTCCATCTGTCAGCCTGCCTGTGGTGCCCAGAGCAGCAGAGATCATTACCACCAAACCCAAATGAGGGCACTCGGAGGTTGGCCCAGAGGAGTGTCAGAGGTTACCAGCCTCCCCATGGATCCACCCACAGGCCGCAGGAGAGGTGGGGGAGAGCTGGAGCCTGGCAGTCCCTTTTGGAAACCAACAGCCTACACAGCTCATTTCAGAGCTGAGAATCTTTCACTGGAACCCAGACAAGCAAGCAGCACCTGCTGCTGCCATCTAGTTTCACCTGACTCCCTGTGATTGGGCTTCAACTGCCCCCTAGATTAAGGTCACTACTGCTCTGCTGCCAGATTCAGGAACAGCTCAGGCTGCATTCCTTCTTCTTTCCTGATAGCATCTAACCCTGGGGATGGCTGGCTCCTTGAACCTCATCCTCCATGGCTTCCCTGGTTCTCCTACCATTCTTTAGGCATCTCTAGGACCACAGACATCACCTCCATAGAATCATTCCACTTACCAGGTTCTACCTTTTCCCCTTTGGTTTCTACGCTCATTGCCAGGTGTTTATATCTGGCCCCTTAGGCCTAAACTTACCTGGTGAATTACCCAGAGTGCGGCCTATTTTTTAAGCAGAGGCACCATGTCCCAGAAGAATTTAGTTGGGAATGGGGTGGGGGGGAGAAACGGAGTCCTAGGATGACCTGGAGGAGTTACTGTCCTGGGGTCAGGTGCCTGCCAGGGCAAAAATAGGAGGTGCTGAGGAAGGGGTGCTGCCCAGAGCCCCCGGGCCATTTTCTTGGAAGGAAAGCAAAATGTTCCCGTTTAAATGATTCTTTTGGTTCTTAGCAATTTCCCCTTACCTCAGGGTTGAAATAAGATCAGATGTGGTGATACACCATCAAATGCTGTCTAACAGTTATTTTTAGAGATGACTGACTCTGTAGACCCTTTTGGAGGTCCCATGCCTGGGCCCTGTGCATCTGCTAATTAGCTAAAGAACAGAGCTGACTTGCAGAACAGGGTTGGGCTGTTCATCTGGTGGGAGTGGAACACATTAAGTTTTTAAGTTTGAGTAAGTGATAGGAAAGAATGTGGACAGTTTGACTAGATATCCAGTTCTTAGGTGGGGTTGGGAGGTGGGGAAGAGATACTGTGTTTTACTGCCTCAAAGAAAATCATCTCATTTTGTCATCAGAGAAATGGCAAAATGCAGCCAGAAAAAGATGTCAGTGCCTCTGATCTTGACCGTACAGGGTCCCAGCCTGGTCTGGCCATACATAGCCTTTGGCCTGGAGGTGGCCTCTGAGCTGGCCTCGGGCCACACACCTTCAGCCTGATGTGGGGCTGCAATGGGGAGCTCGGCTGTAGCCCTGGTCTGAAAATGGGCTTTTGTAAGAAATTAGCATGACCAGCCCTACAGGCCAGCCTCCTGAGTCAGCAGTTTGTATGAAACCACATTAGCCAGCAACAAACAGCTGGGCTGAAACCTCACCAGGCCCAACTCATGATGCAGCTGAAGGTAATTCCCAGTGTCATCCGAACCCTGGGGATGGGTGGAGACTTTTGCCTCTTAACATCACTGCTCGGAGTGGGGCTTGGAGATGAAGAAAGTCTGGCGGGTGATGTGCCTGAGAGCCAAGCGTTATCTATTACACAAGTGAAACTTACTCTTTTCGTGTCCTTCTCTCCAATTTTTCAGATTATTTGCAGGTGTTTTCCCTCGAATGGCAGCAGTCAGCTTGGGAGGTTTCATCTTTCTTGGTGCTTATGACCTGACACGCAGTTTGCTGTTTTAACTTGGCAAAGCAAGCCCGTGAATCACACCCAAAGGCCAGCTGATAGGCACTTCTTTCAAGTAAGAAGATGTGGTGTCCATCATGGCCCCAAGCCCCACTACCCCTCCCCTCCCGCGTAGGGAGCAAGAGCTGGACCCTCGTAGCAACCAAACGTTTTATAGGGTCTGGAAATACAGTTTTGATACAAATGACATCCAAAGTGTCCTGTCCATGGAGTAGGCTGAGCTGAATGAAGTCATAGAAGTCTGTCTGCCAAGAAGAGAAGTTAATCATGTCACCAAAAGCTTTCTGAAAGGGATTCTCAGCCCCATCTTCCACCCCCACTGCTAATGAACAAAATTATGGCCCACAGGATCTTTCATCTGATCTTTCATTTCCTGCCACCTGAGAGTCTCCGGACACAGCCTCGGTCAGGAATGCTGAAGCAAAGAAAGTCCATTTGTTTGGGGTTTGATTCATATTGTGAAAGTTTATAGCTTTGTTTAGACCCACAGGTGCAGAGCAGGCCTTCTCGCTTGCCAGTCAGGCCTGTGGCTTTAATTACCTTCAGATTTTGCTTATAAACACACAGTTGCTTCCCTCAACTACAAGTTGAGCATCCAGCCAGCTTTTGGGATATGGGCCCAGCTCTGACTTTTGGGGGTAGAGAAAAACTCTGCTCAACTGGAGTTCAGGAAGCATTGGGTCAGTCTAGGGGGTCTATGCCTGCTCACCACTTTTCAAATCATTGAAGACTTTAAAATTAAGGCCTAGAATTATCAAATCAGAAAAATCTCATGGTTAGGTTTGGAACTTCTCATTCCTGTCTGGTGGCTGTAGCTACAGGTAAAATCTGAACTGTCTGAGATGATTTCTGTTCCATCACTACTGCATGGAAATGTTGCTTTCTCTACAAAGAGAAAGAAAAGTCCTTATCATCTGCCCCCCCTCCCCCTGAAGAAAAGTTCCAGTCAACCCAGGAAAATTGATATTTATAAATGAACCTTTATTAAAAGACACTTCAATGCCATTTGTTAGACACGTCAATATTTTACATGTTTTTTCAATGTACAACATTGTACCAAATTTTCTATAAATAAATAACTTTGTACACAAAAGCCATACTTCCTCTTTCACATTGCCTCTCAGAAGCAGCAAATTCACATATTTTGTGGAAGTAACAGGAGACAGTGAACTGCCCCAAAATAAGAAAGATTCTTAACGTGACACATGTGATCAGGCATTCAAAAGCACAATGCAAAGTGTTATACCCAGAACACGGATGCCCTGCTTTGACCTACATTTATTCCAGGGTTTTTAATTGTTAGTGGAGTTTTGATGAAATTCAATGTGTTACATGTTGGCACTCACAACATAGGGAGCCACCTGTCTCAAAAGTGCATAGAGAACTGAGAAGCCAGTAGACAGGCAGCTGGCAAAGTTACGGCCCGCACCCTGGCCTGGTGTTGGTCCAACTGAGGCCATGTAGACACATGGGTGTGCACTCACTGGTAAGCAACTGAGTCCTTTTGTGAAGACCCTTAAAGAGAAATGAATTCTCCTTCCTTCCTATCTCCCCCTCCCCCCAAACATTCTTCACAGGGCCAATATTTTGCAGTCATATATTGTTGTTCAGTTGTTTCGGTCATGTCCAACTCTTCGTGACCCCATTTGGGGTTTTCTTGGCAGAGATACTGGAGTGGTTTGCCACTTCCTTCTCCAGCTCATTTTACAGATGAGGAAACTGAGGCAAATAGGGTAAAGTGACTTGCCCAAGGTCACACAGCTAGCACGTGTCTGAGGCTGGATTTGAGCTCAGGAAGAGGAGTCTTCCTGACTCCAGGGCCAGCGCTCTATCCACTGCCTCACTTAGCTGCCCAATCTTATATTAGCAAAACTAAAATGAAAAGAGTGAAGAATCATCCACAGGTTACCAACACCAACCAAAGCAGCTTTTATATAAATAAAAATAGATTCCTCTCAAGATCATAAGCTACCGATCTATTCCACCACATCTGCCGTATTCACGATGGACTCAGAGACCAGGCAGCCCACTCACTCAGGAGCTCCTCGTCAGGCACGAGTCTCCATCTCTGCAGATGCCAGTGGATCTGTTCCTCACCATTGGAGGCTGCATTTATGGGGTACATCTCAAGGCAGTGCCAAATGGTTTCTTAACAAGGATGTTTAAAAAACTAACTTTCCCCTGTGGCAACTTGACATCACAGTGATCACTAGGAAAGGCAGGGACAGTTCCCTGATGGGCTCGGTCATTCAGGGTGTCTATCACAGGGAAAACATATGAACCGTTGACCCTAGTGATTCCCTTCTTTACTGTGTACCCTGTGCCGTGTTTATCTGTCCACGTACAAGGTGGCTTTTCAGATGGGCTACAGCATTGAGAAACATAAAATGGCCTCTACAAAAAAGAAAAATGCCATTTCTGAACGAAATGAATTCCGCCTCGTGTAGTGAGTCACAGGGCAGCTCCCCCCTGCTCATTTTACTCAAGTGGTGTCCTTTCCATTTTACCCTTTGATGTGCAATACAAGGTAAGGGAGGTTGGTGATCAACACTCCAGTCAATACTTTGAAACAAATGTGGTTTTCATTGATGCAAGTTTCATTCCTGCATTAAGGCACCAGGATTATTTTTCCCAACAAAAATTTAACAGCAACCTGGTATGGAAAACAGTATTGCCCAAACTGTAAGATTTCACTCCTTTAACCATCATGCACTAAAGATTAAAATAGCCTCTGTAAAAGATTTATATATATATATATATATATATATATATATATATGAAAACTCTTATGTACAGTTGTATCAAATACTTTGTCTTCCTTTTGTACATAATCGTCTTTTGCACGTGTGTGCTTCGGACGCAGAATCTACTTGGAAGCTCCTGATGCTCCCCACGGAAGCTTTCAATTCTGTACAAATTCAGGGATGCACGTCTCAGGCCTCCTTCTTGTGCAAGACTGATGAGGGTTCATGAGCTGAGGTAGCCATGACCTAGATATTTGGTACAAAAAGTAACGGCACATTTCTCTGTACGTGGGAGCTTCCTTGCAGCGCTGCAGGCTCGTGACCGGAGTCACAAGGCTTGGGCAAGTGTCCATTGGGAAGAGAAGGCTTGGCCTGGGCCTCGTTGCCAGTGAGTTCTGGGAAGTTGGAGGAGGCATTGGAAGCTCCTGAAAGTGCCATCCCTCTCGTCCCCAAAGACAAAGGGTGCAAGACGACAGACTCAGACTCAGAAGGTTTTCCTAAATCGTTTAAAGAGCCTCCTATGGAGAAAACAAAGGCATCGCATCATACACTGTGTTCCCATCCCAGCTATGAGAGCACCCCCTAGTACTTGGCAAATCATCATGATTTCCAGGGAATGGAATATGACCAACCCCTTCTTCAAGAGGGCCAGTGGATATGAGAGAATAAACAAAATGCTTACCATTGTGGTCAAGAGGCGATAGCTTTTGGACACTGTATACTGCCATCCTATCATGATTACTGGGGTAGAGAGAGTTTCCGCTGCCCTCCGGGTGTGAGCCGGCAAGAGCGCCCTTGCTCTGGGGAGAGACTGCCTGGTGCAGCAGGGGGTGCTCTTGTTCACTCTTACTGGGCTCTTGGCTACCCCGTGGACTTGGGTGTGTATCATGCAGAGGATAGGAGTCTTTGTCCTTGGAATAACTGGTGACACGATCACTGAGGTCACTGCACACAGCTGGCGTGCCACAGTCTAAGGAGAAGAGAGAAAAATGTCAAGTTGTCGGAGGGGGAAAGAGTTATTTTTTTAAACATCCTTGTTAAGAAATCACTTGGCACTGCCTTGAAATTTACCCCATAAATGCAACCTAAAATAGTGGAGAACAAATCCATTGGCATCTACGGAGATCAAGAAAAAGAGTGGCTTGTTTCTAACCCCTCCATGGTCATCCTGTGTAAGATAAGGATTCCATGTGTAGTAACTACAGATTTGTCATCCATGTTAAAGAAGTCTGGGTGCTAAAACCATAACGAAAGACATACAGAAGTCAGGGATGTCGAAAAAACTCCTGAATTTGGACCTTGTGCCTTGCATGAGAAGAGATCAGGATGCAGCCTAGATGGGAGGTTTCATGAGTAAAGCAACTTCTGGATGAGACAACTCCCTCTACTAAATGCAAGTGAAGGGGCAGCTAGGTTGCGCAGTGGATAGAGCACCGGCCCTGGATTCAGGACGACCTGAGTTCAACTCCGGCCTCAGATACTTACATAACACTTAATAGCTGTCACTTAACCCCACTGCCTGGCAAAAAAAGGAAAAAAAACCTAAATGCAAGTGTAGAGTCTTGGAGAGTCTTGTTTGGGGCACCAAGAGGTTGAGTGATTTGCCTTGGGTCACAGAGCCAGCAAGTCAGAGGTGAGGCTGGCATTCAGGTTTTCTTGGCCTCGAGGTTGGCTAGTTACCCGCTACGCTACCCTGCTTTTCTTAGAAAGGTTATTCCAGTCATTTGGGTACAGTGCTATAGAATCAGAGATGGCCACAAAAGCAGAATGCACTGAGTGTGCTACTTTCAAAAAATATCAATAAAGAATTGGCAGTTTCATTAAGGAACTCCCCTCCTACTCTGGGTGTACAAACTCTCTCCACCAATGTCAATGACTACAGACTGTGTGTGTGTGTGTGTGTATACACATTTTAGTAAGTAAGCTAACGAGCTAAATGGAGGACTGACAGGGTTAAGTGACTTGCCCCGTGACATGGGTGTCCAAGGCAGGACAATACAATATAATCAGCATGCATCAGGTGCCTGCTCTATGCCAGGCACAGTGGCTGAGCGCTGGGGATACAAAAAGAAGAAAAGGGCAAAGCCTGCCCCGAAGAGTCGACAGTCTGATGAGGAAAACATTCCACTGTCCCACTACTGCCTCTCACCTTACTATTTATGGCATGTAGACACCTACATTATTTCTCTGTTAGAAATGTTATCTTCTACCTGTTTTATCTGGACCAAATACTCCATCAGCCGCTCTCCATACTTCTTTATTATGTCCAATACACAGTTTTGGCTGCCTGTAAGCAGGCCCATGAAAGTCAACATCTGGATTCAGTCCTGCATCTCTCTGACAGATACCTGCAGTACAAGAACCAATAATATCAGTGGCACAATCCTTTATATGCTTCATCAAAGACTTCAATGTTAAGAGTTTAATGAGACATCCAAACAGGTATGATTACTGCAAATGGAGAATAAAAAATAAATAAGAAAGACTTTAGAGTGGGCAGTTTGAGGGTAAAGAAAAGTAAACATGGAAGGTTTAAGTAAGAAAACCATTTTCAGTGTTTTTACTATTAAGTGCAGAAGGTCATGGAAAACAAGTATTCAAGTCCTGGTGGCTTTTGGAAATGAATGAAAGAAAATGGAAAGGGGGAACTATGGGTATGGAATATTGAACAAACTATTGGATGGTTAACTGGTTCCCTTTTTTAACCTTCAGTAAAGGGATGGTTCTCTGTATGGGGGAAGGCAACTCAAAATGAAGGAATGAAGATGACGAAAAAAGGAAATGAATCCGTCTATATTAAGGAGACAGTTCTCAGCAATTAGAATTGTGGGAATAAATAGCAGAATCAGGATTTGGGTTCTGAATGTAACTGGCTGTGTGACTTTGGGAAAGGCCCTTTATTCCTGACCTCTCTCTAACAGCTTTTCCCAACTTGCCATTTGATGCTTAGAGAAGTCTTGTTTTCAGATACTACCATCCTAAGTACGCCAGTTCAGGCAAGCGTCTGACTTCAGTGCTGGTCCAGAAATTACACATCGTGCCCTGCATACGTGGAATGGCTTCAGCCAAAGGGGCCCACAGGCTCTTCCAAGATACTGTCTCCTACCTCCGTGCCTTTGTATATGATATTCCCCGTGCCTGGAGTGCCCTCCATCCCCGCCTCCATCTCCTGGAGCCCCTACATAGCTGTATTCAAGTATGACCTTCTGTAAAATCCTGGCTGCTCTAGTGGTTAGCGTCCCCCACTTCCAAATTCTTATACAGCATGTATCCAAAATGTAACCTCCTTGATAGCAGCAATTGTCTTCACTTTTGATTTGTCTGGCCTACAGTAGGCATCTAATAATTGCTTGTTGCATCTGCCCACCAAAGCAGTGTTATGTGTGGAAGTCAAACTGCCAAGCCAATCAGAAAGCTTACAGCCCAGCTGGACTCTAGTACCAAACCACATATGTCTGGCTCTCCTGAGGTCAAGTTTTATAAGACAAAAGTCATTTCTGATGCTCTTTGGAAATTACTGATACAGTATGGTGTATCACCTAAATATGAGGCCATTCTCCCCCTCAGAGAACTTGGACAGCCACAGCACCCCTGAAGAACCACACAACCCAGGAAGACAGGGGCAGAGACAAGAGGCCATACCATTACTTTCTATGTGTCCATTGGCCTGATGGCCCCCCTCGGTCCTGACCACTGCTTCTTGTCTTTCTGAGAGCGTCCCCTGAGAAGACAGGTAACTTGGGACATCAGGTGGTACGATGGTTTCATCTGGAAGGAGAACAGAAAATTACACACTAGTAGTCCCAGTGACTGCTGTAAACAACTCTTGTAGTTGACTCTGTTAAGATGTCTAACAAAGAGGAAAGGGGCAGAAAAGGGCTGGAGGCCAAGTTCACGTACTAATATTGAGCACTAGATTCTAAAGCCCA